ATTTGGGAAAAGGTTCTGCCTTGGGTCCTTTATTCTTGTTCCCCTCAAAAATACCTCCAAATATATAGCAGTTGGGCTAAATCAGGAAAAATGCCAGTAAAAGTTCTTACTCAGTGCTTCTCTTTCTATATGATCTAAAAGGGACTTTCAGCCCCACCCCTAGCACGCCTGCTCTCACAACACACATGCTGTCCTTGAGACTTCTCTGTGGGATCCTGTCAGTCTTCTGACAGTTGGAATGATCGTGGATTTATGACCCCAAAGAGCAGAATATCCCGTCCCTTATTCTCCCAGCTGCTGGAAGATAACTGTCTTCATTACAGTTGAGAATCTGTCTTAAGATTTGCAATTCTGAGAACTGACTAGCTGAGTATAATTCTGTGATTTGTGAGACGTGCATTAAAACGGCCAGCAGAACATTCTGATTATCTGCCTACATTCAAAGAAAATAGAATTATCACTGCAGTTAAAACCTTCTAACACAATCTATTTTAGGGATCAAAGTATTAGATGTGCTGCTTAAGGAATGGTGCTACTAAAAAAGAACTGGAGTTGGCAAGACATCTCCCTCCCCAGGTGTTTCCAGAGTCCACTTCAGTGATTCAAAACACCCTACACCATAAATGCCCGTACCACCAGCAGCCCCCACTAAAAAGAAAAAAGCAAAAAAGAAAGCCAACTCACCAAAATCCACGAAAACATAGGTAGTACTTACCCATGAAATACATATTTTTTGGAAGAAAACGCCAGAAGTTGCTCTTACAAGAAAACAGAGTAAAAAGAAAGCCAACTCACCAAAATCCATGAAAACATGGGTAGTACTTACCCATGACATACATATTTTTTGGAAGAAAACGCCAGAAGTTGCTCTTACAAGAAAACAGAGTAAAGACGTCATTCTAAATCATGATGCAACAAGAGACAAACATTCAGACCTCCTGAAGCATTCAAAGCCCATGATAATAGCAGCTGACATTTACTGAGCATGTACTGTGTGCCAGGCACTGTGCTGACTGTTCTGTCTCGTTTATTCTTGAAGATTCACAGACTGCACACCTTAATGGAGAAGAGTGAAATCTCCATTTGCTCCTTTCATCTTAGTAGGATGTTCATTGGAGAATGGACCACAGAGTCTGCCTGGCATTGCTCTGAGTGAAACCACTGCATTTAACCTGTTTCGTTTTCCCCACACGACCACGCTGGAGAATTCCCAATGCTATCCTCTCTCCATGCCCTTCTGATACTGGACTAGTGTTACCGTGATGATCTAGACACAAGAGCATCCCTTCCCCTTGGTCTTTCTCCTTGCTTAGTGACAGTGATAGAAACGTAGTGTGACCTAAGGGAGGCTCTGCAGCTGTGATGTGAAACCTCTTGTTTCAAGCATCCTGTCTTCCGAAGGCAAATATGAGTTCCTGCCTCTTTGGGGAAAGAAACAGTAGGGCTGTCTCATCTGTGTTTTGAGGAGAAGTAGAATTTACTAGCACTTCCAGTTAGTTGAAGCAGAGAATGTTAAAAATCTCACACACTTCCTGTTTTCCCTCTGTTTAGCTCTTCGAGCATCTTCGTAGTAAGAGCATCTCTTACTTTTAGGCATCCTGCTTCTGCACAGAAGTGTTTAGCTAAGCCATTCCAGCTCATTCTGCTCTCACGTCCATCACGGTCACGAGAGGCAGTGGGCCTGAGCCAGTAGGAGGTTCTGGGACTCTGGTATTTGTGTCTGCCCTGCATGGAGACAGGTGCAGATTTGGGCTCAGCATAAGAACTTTCTAATAACCACAGTCCGGCACAGGGGCAAGCTGCCTCGGGGTTCAGGTGGCAGCTCAGTGACTACTGTAGGGGCACCAACTCCAAGCTGACCTGAGGACGGGACTGAAATTCCATGTTTCTCTCCCCCTCGCTTCTCCAGCTCTTTTCCTCTTGCAAATAAGTGGTTCTCAGGGGCTGGCTGTCCCTCTCTCTTCTCATCCACTCTGTCGTGTCCTGGGCATCCTTGAAGCCCAAGAGAGTGGAATCCGCCCCGGAGGAAAGCCCCAGTTGGAGTGGCCCCGTGAGCGGATTCACCAGGTTGACTACTTGGGATTGGTGGCCCCTGTAATAGGTACCTTGTTTCATTAGCTGGCTAATGGGGTTTTTTGATTATCTATTCCTCCCACCAAAAAAAAAAAAAAAGAAAACCCACCCTAATGTGAAGGGAACAAGGTATGTGTGCCTTCCGTTTAGCTATTGATCCGGATCTGGCATGACTGGTGGCAGTTGGGTGCCCCTGAAATTTTGGAATGGAAACATTAACTCTGTCCTTGGGAAGCGCACGTGACTCTTAACGAACCAGTACGCGTAGCAGAGATGAGTCACAAGATTTGTGTCGCCTTTATAACTTTTCCAGCTTCCCATCACTTCCAGGTCACGCTGAAATTCAGTCTTGTTTTCTGGCTTCCTTTAAGCCCAGAAACCACTCCCCTTTTGTTGCTTGTCTGGAACTAAGAGCCCAGCATAAATTAATGAGGGTCATTTTTCCACTTCATCATTCGTTGAAGCTATTAAACTGGAAGCAAAACGACATTAGTTCTGTATTAACATAAACAGCAGCCGTTCTAGTGATCCTACCCTCAACTCTTGTTTGTATGCCAGAGTCCTAGGCCAGGTAGGCAGTGCACACATTAGTAGAGCGGACTGAATGAAGGTGAGAGCTCAGCCGTGGGCTGCTTTCAAGAGCATTACTGTTAATGATTTGCCTTGAAAACCACATTTCAGTATGTTAGAGTCAGTGAGCCCCTTGATCCTGCATCTCTGAAAATGGGCACCACGAAACCAAAACCAAAGTTCTTGGGGGCAAGGGTTGGAGGGTAGGGAGCTTCTCCCTTCAAGCATCGGCATCTCTGGCAAGGCTTTTCTATACTGTTCACTGGTTTTGCCAGAACACTCCTTTCGAAAGGGCCTCTTCTTTCCTAGTAGTTTTTCTCACGCGGACAACAGAAAGCAGGCCCGTGCAGTCCTGTGGCTGTGAGTCTAGAGCAGGCTGTCCCGACTTCCCACACACCTGCTCTCCCCCGTCCATTCACCCTGGTCTGCAGAAACAGGAAAGAAAACAGGCCCCTGCTGGGCCCAGCCCTGGTTTCTTCACATTCACCCAGGCTGCAAGGTGGGACATTCCTCTCCAGAAGATACCAAGAACATCCTAGTTGCCTCCCCTGGAAGAGCCCACAGCCTTCTCTGATTCCCCTGGGCTCCCCTCCCTCCCTTCCACGGCCATAGTCACCGTTGGGTATGCAGTACCTTCCAAGGATACATTTCTAGTTACGTTTTTTAAGTGCCTAAGCAAGTTACAGACCTCTGGGACCTGCCAGAGAGTCGGCCTGTGCCCTGCCCCCATCCCTTCCCCACCCTGCACTTAGCCCCCAGGGGCGGGCGCAGAGAGCTGCCCCTCTCCAGGGTCCCTGGCGTTCTGCAGGCAGAACAACTGCAAGGGCAAGCTCGTGGGCAGGGCGACATCGTCATTGCCCCATCAGGCTGGCTTTGTCACTCTTTCCTGTGCTGCTTTTTAGGGATGTCTCTGTTGATGCGGTTCCAGGCTCGGCTCCTCGAGAATGTTAAAGGAGCCTGCTTCGCGAGGTCTGCAGCTACTGAGTGGGGAGGATAGGGGAGAGCAAGCAGTCAGTCCGTCCGTGTCCGCAGCTGGGAAGGGCATCCAGATCCAAGAGGGCAAAGAGTCAGATAATCATAGTTAAAAACACAATGATTCATTTGCCATCATTAATCACTGGAACCCTGGCTGCCTCCCCCTGTCCTCTCTTCCGAGATTTGAGGGGTCAGGGTGTCTGCTCACAGGGGCTCAGAAGGGCCATCATCGCGGGGGGCGAAGCAAGATCAAAAGTGCGTCTTTGAAAATGAGTGTGAGGTTATTTGTTTGCTTCTTTTTTAAAGTAACTGAAGTCTGACCTAAATTCGGGGCCTTTATTAAATGTGGGTGTACGACGGATTATTTTGTGACTGCACTCTGTTCACATCACGGCACTAAGCAGCGCTCAGATGATTTGTTGGTGCATTAGAAAGTTTTTGCAAGATGGACAAATCCATACCCAGGCACTTTATTTTCATTAATAATCCAGCGTTTTTGTTCAGACAATGTAATAACCCAAATGGTGGGCATTCACATTGAACAGGTATGGGCAGATTTGCCAGAGGAATCCTTTGGATTTGGATAGACAAGGGAGGCGGGTTAATGAAAGTGATCCAGTGGCAGACCGCTGCCGTGGTGGTGACGGTGCTGACGAGAGGGAGGCTGCCCTGGAGCAACCCGGAGTCGGCCGTGTGCTGCTGCTCGGTCCTGCGGATGCTGGTGTTGACAGCTTCCCCGGGTGCTTGTCAGTTGTCCCAGAGGCGCGTGCGCGGGGACTGCAGCAGCGCAGGGGACGGCAGTGCGGTGCAGCACGAGGCGGAGGAGGCCCGCCTGCTTCTCCATTAACCGGACCCGAACACTCCGGCGGCCGCGCAGTGCTGGGGACTCGTTCCGGTGGCGGAACCACGTGCAGCTCTGTCTGCCTGTCCATGGCAGGGGTGGGAACGAGCTGGCGCAGCTGGTTATATAATGGAAAGTGAGTTTGACGGTCATAATCTGATCAGATACCATGGACCAGATGCCTTGGGACTGCCTGAAAGTCTTTAGTGTCCACCAAATACTCGAGTATCTGCGACGGGCTGTGTGGGGTCCCTGCCAGATGGGTGTGGGGGCAGAGCGCCCTTTCCCTGCCTTGGCCGTCGTGTGTCTTAGTCTTTGTGTTTCCTTTTGGTGTCTCCTGGTCTCTGTCCCCCATCTTGTGCACCATGTGTCCCTGAGGGGAGTCGCACCTGTGTCTGAGTCTGCTGTAAGGTGTTCAGTCTACCTCAAGGGGTCATCATGGTCAACTCTGTCCCATAGCAATCCTCTGACATCGCCACACACACTGGAATGTATATCTGCCCCTGGCCCTGCCTTCCCTGTCAGTAACCTCCTGACCCCATCTTTCCTGTAATCACCACAAACTCCTAGTGCAAATTGGATGCTGCTTTAAATGTGAAAACAATTGTTCAAAAGCTATAAAACCTGAATGAAAGCTAAAGCTGAATTTATAAGCCTTGTTGCATATGAGCCAAAAGTGCAAAAAGCTCTATATAATGAACTAACCTGCCACTCGTATAAATATAAATATATATAAATATATTAAAATCAGACTGTTCTACAAAATTGTGTATTTGTATTTTTGTGTACGTACAATTTTCTGCTAAGCAGAAGGAGGATGTAGTATAGGATGCTGTGAGAAGAGATTTGGTTTAATCCTATTTCTTTGTTACTTATTTTTGTTAACATCAGATGCCTGTCTTTGTCTTATATGTGTATGACACTGTTTGGAAAGCTGCAGTATCTCTCTTCCTTAGGTCCAGAGTCCATTAGAGAATGAAATCTGGGGTTTAGAGAGTTGTCCAGGCCACCAAACATGCAGAAGTGGACAGAGCTTGGCCCTCTCCTGCCCAGGAGCTGCTCGCTGTCCTGAGGCAGCAGTGAGGCAGGGCACTGGCCTCTGGGAAGCAGAATCCCACTTCCAGAAAGCAACTTCGAAAACAAAAGATTGTCAGATCTCCCTAACAGAAAACTCCACCGGGTCCCTCAGGAGGAGATGCAGGACCTCTCAGTTCTGGGCCAGAAGTCTGCCCAGAAAGTAGCAGGGGGCTCTGCCTGGCTCTAGTGCCCCGCTCACTGGCCGTCCCTGGGCTCTGTGTCCCTCTGCCTTTTTCAGACCAGGTTACCAAAATGCCTCCCCTCTGCTGAGCTGCTGGCGCTTCATCACCCAGACCTGCAGCCCCAGTTCCCTGGAGCATCTCAGAACCCACTTTCCCGGTGCTAACACACAAGAGGGGGGTAAAGTGGCTGCCAGTAACGGCCAGAAACCAACCATCTGAGAGGCCAGGCCGGAAGACAAGCTCTGTGCGCCCAGGGCGGTCGCCTTTCCCCGGGGAAGGCGTCCGGCGCCCCGCCCGGGCCCCACCCCCGCCGCCCGCCCACCTCTCAGCCCCACGGCAGTCCCTCTTGGCGTGAACCTTGTCTAGGGAGAGCGATACTGCACCTTCACCTGTGGGACTCATATTTATAACAATGTGTAATGACTGTAGCAAAAAGCCCTTGTTTCTAGATGTAAATGGTCAAAGGAACAAGTGCTCTATTGTATTGATTAAAATAGTTCAAATGAGTCCTGTATCATTGTATCTCCTATTCTGGATTAGTGCCTTTTGGACAGTAGACTGTTCTGTAATTAAAATGTAGTATACTGCTTTTTTGTACAGTTTTGTTTTAATAAAACTTTTTTTTAATTTGTGTTTATTTTAGTATTGTACCTATTAGAGAATAAAACGTATAACTGAACAAAGCCTGGTCGGGATTTCTTTGGGTAAGGACGGTCATTTGGGCAGCGCCCCGACACTAACGGGGTGGCGGCGGGTGGGGGGGCGGCGGCCTTCCCTTTCGGAAGTCAGTGCCTTTGCTTAAAAAAAAAAAAAAGCGATTGGTGCGCCCGGACCCGAGGACGCCTGAACAGGGCTGGGGTGACGTCCAATACCACCTGGTTGAGAGGGAATGCCACCTGCTCACGAAAGCCCCTGAGTCCGTCCGCCTCCGACCGAACTGCCTTCTCAGGGTGCGTCCCACCCGGAAGCGGCCGGGCCTTCCGCGGGCTGTCCCGCCCAGTGGCGCCCTCACGCAGGCCCCCGCCTCCCTCCCCTTCCGCCTTCCTTACCCCCAGCTGCCCCCCATCCCAGAACCGCTGCGGTCCTAGCGGCTGCTCCACCGCGGGGACCGCGGCCTTGTCCTTCCTCGTGCCGAGCCGTGACATTCCACGCACCTTCCCTCTCCCACTCCAGGCCACATGCCGAGCACCTCGTTTTCTTAAAAGAGCCATCTTTCCCAGGGCTTCTTCACCTTTAGCAGTGGAAAAATGGAATCAAAGAAAGCTGAAGCTTCGTTGTGTTAAAGACATCCAATGGTTGGGGTCAGATCCTTATGCAGGAGTCAAGGACAGTGCCCGAGCCCCCTCTCACCCAACAGACTCGGCTTGATTTGCTTACTCCTCCTCAGAGAAGCCTGAGAAGTAAACGGTATCCTCTTCTTACCATACATACGTCGTTAGAAAAAGCTCTGCTAAATTTTAAGTTGCCCCCAAACCCTAAGTCGCAAGTGGAGGTGGGCCGGGGATGGGGGAGGGAATACCGAGAACCCTCGGCACCTCGCCTCACGCTCCTCTGTCTGGGCCCAAACTGCTTTCTGCTTCCTTCAGGCCCGCCGCCTGCCCAGCAGTACCCCCTCCACCTCCTGTCCTTCCGAGTCCTGCAAACACCAGCCTGGAGGGAACCTCCTCAACCCCTAGAGCCCCTGGGGCCCCTCCTGGCGGCCCCCTGCCCTCTAGACCCGGCCGTGGGGCTCGTCGGGATCGCTTGTCGGCCCCGCTCGCTGCACGACGCCGGTGCAGGACAAGGGCACTGAGCGACGCAGCGAGTGAGTGACTGAACCAACTAAATGGGACGGGTCCACTGGAGCCCATTTTCGGGTCTGAGCAACCGTAACAACCCCACAGCCTCAGGCAGACAGAGAAGGTAATATGAGTTGCGAGAGAACAAGTAGCAACTCGAAAATGAGGATTTATCCCAGGAGCTAGATCAATTCTGCGTTCAGACTCCTGCCTCAGAGCAGGGCTGCTCCCGGCTGCCAAATTTCTGTCATAATTTGGCAGTACTTCTCTCTGAGAACAACTCTTTGACACTTAGGAGTATAAACGAGTCCCGCAAAGATGTGCCCCGACTGGTGGCCACCTCCGATCGGCCCTCTCCATCTGCAAGGACATTCACATCAGATGAGGGCCAAGTGAGCCGTGGCCACAGGGCTGCCCAGGGAGTCGGTCCCCTGTGAAAGCAGCACCCTGGGCCGGCCTCGTCCCCGCCCCGTGCTCCATCTGACAGGAGACCTGTCCATCCGCCCAGGTCGGACGGGCCGCTGTGAACCGTGCTGGGCCACGCTGGGCGCCATGTCCTGAGGATGGGGACAAGCAGGAACCAGGAGGGGCGCCTGGGTGGCTCAGTCGTTAAGCGTCTGCCTTCAGCTCAGGTCAGGATCCCAGGGTCCTGGGATAGAGCCCCACGTCGGGCTCCCTGCTGGGCGGGAAGCCTGCTTCTCCCTCTCCCACTCCCCCTGCTTGTGTTCTCTCTCGCGCTATGTCTCTCTGTGTCAAATAAAATCTTTAAAAGCAGGAACCAAGAGAGAACACTGGGTTCCACAGCCTGCGGGGGTGTGACCAGCCCTGCCAGTGTCTGCAACCACCATCCCCTCCCCAGGGCCACCTGCGCAGCAGTGGAACACGTCCTCGGCTCCCTAGTTAGGGGGTCCGCTGGGGGGTCGATCTTGTAGATCAGGGCAGTGGGGCTGTGCCCTGAGAATTGGGACACACTCCTCCAGAGAAGCAGCCTGTCCCCACCACCTCCAACCCCCCCTCCAGGCCAGCTGCCTCCCAGTTAGCCCAGATGCTCCCATTACCCGAAAGTTTCCACTGGTTCTGGGCTCCTGTGAGAGGTCTCAACTAACGGGAGTAAGACTGGCCACCTGTGGGCCCCCCCGCCCCGGTTCTTCAGTCTACACCACAAAGAGCACAGGGGCCGGAGAGGTGCGCTTGGGGACCTGCTGCTTCCCCGAACCTCCCTCTTCTAGTCTCAATCTTGAAAAGCCTCAGGCCCAGGCCATCCCTTGCCCTGTGGGCCGTCTACAATGAGCCCAAACACCCCCGCGCCTGGGTCAGGGAGGGAAAAGCAACAAGACCAACCTCAGACATAGGCAAGAAATCATCTGGTTTTATTTAGAGGCTGCTGGTCATACGAGGGAAAGGCATATATGGTACAAAATTACAGAGGTTTAGTTCATTATATAATACAAATCATTCAGTCTTTACAATTCATTACAGAGTCTTTGGATTTTTTTAAACTCCCATTTCATGTGCAGCAAATCAATACAGTCCCCCAATCAAAATCACTTCTTTATATGCAAACCCATTGTATTCACAAAACTCCGCACATGGAGATGTTCCAAGACCCCCCACAAAATTAGTGTCAGTGGCCCGGCTGAAGGCACGTCGGACTTCTCAGAGAGAGAGAGGCGTGTGGAGATCATCGAGCCAGTGTCTTGGGCATAAAAGACAGGCTGCACTGGCCGTCCCCAGGATAAGGCACGACAGACAGGTGGCCTCCTCCTCCGGCACTCCCCGTCCAAGGTGCAGGCCTCCGGGCAGACCTCAGGCAAGTGGGGCTGGTCTTCGCCAGGAAAATACCCTGGAACTTCTTGTGGGTCTCCCATACAGGGAACAGTAAGCCAAGGGGAGAAAAGGGAAGTAATGGGGGATGGAAACGCTTAAAGCCGTTCAAACTCTTCAAGGGCCCCATTCACAGCTCAACGGAAGCGCCAATCTCCGCAAACACACGAGGCCCTTCAGGGCTGAGCCCGGCCCCACGCGCGGGCTGTGCTTTCTCCTGCTCCCGTGCCCTCTGGCCAGGCTGGGATTCCGGACAGCTGCCCCCCTGCGGCCCCCGTCTGGCCCCTGACACGTCCTCGTGCGGCACCTGCGTGCAGGCAGCCCATCCCCTCTTGCTGTCACCCCGGATCCCAGAGCCTGGGAGCTGCCAGAACCACATCCCGCACCCTAGCGCTGACACACCGGTTACCATCAGGCCTATCGGTGAGAACAGAAGACAGGGGGAGATGGGGGGCTTCCCTCCGTCTCCCACGGTCACGCGACCCGCAAGACGCCACCTCTGGTCCAATAAATGCTGGGTTGTGGGGACTTCCTGGGCTACAGCTTTAGTGACATCTACTTCGTGTCACTGCTTTCCCAGCAACGAGTTACCAGGAGTCTGCACCGAAGAAGCCAGAGTGAAGGCCAGAGACCAGAGCAGGGCGGGCCTCCTTCCGACTGGCACTGCTCACCCCCTCCCCCACCAAGGAGGGGGGACTGCCCGGGAAGACAGCGGACTGCAGTGGAGTGACGCCTGCACCCCGAGTCATCTGGCGACACACGGGCCTGGAAGGGACGTGCAGGTGGCGGAGCACGAAGACGGGAGGCTCAGGACGGCAAACCCTGTCCCTGCGAGGACCCGGCACAGCCCTCGTGGCTGCCAGGGTGCCCGCGGGGCCGCAGCTGGGGCAGGAGAGCCACACCCGCCTCTCCGGGCACTGGTGACCGGCCAGCTGCAGCGACAGCTCCCCCCTCCCGAGAACTCCGACGGGGCGGCCCTGTCCTCTCTCACACTCTACAGGACGGGGCCCAAAGCGCCCTCCACTGGCAGGAAACCCCGGCAAGCAGCCCCCGCAGCACCTTCCTCCCACGAAGAACGATGACCTGCCCACCTGGGGGGGCAACAGAGCTGTCCCGCCCGGCGCTCCCTCGGGTGCTCCAGGCCCAGCGAAGGCCGGGCTCCAAGCACAGGCTGCTGCGCCCGGGGGCAGAGATGCGGGGACCTGGGACGGTGGTGGGGAATCTCGGGCGGGGGACGTGGCCGTGTTTAAAAAGCAGGCGGGGGGGGGGGGCGGCGAGCCTGGGAGGAAGGAAAGGTGGTCCCGAAACCTCTTCCCACGCCCGGCCGGTCTGAACTCGGTCAGGGCTCTTCCCCGGCCGCCCTGCTCGGGCCCTCAATCCCACTGCGGTCGACGCCATCTTACCCAGCCCGAGCGACAGAGCCCACCGGCCTTCCACCTTCCCTTGGTTCTCCCCAGTGAGCGCGGTGCCCGACGTGGGCCCGCAGGCTGGTCACCGGAGGCTGTGGGGGCAGGAGCTGCTCGCCCCCAGAGAAAGGGGTGGCGCCGGACCTGCGTGCACGGGCCCACGGACGCCGGCGTCCCCAGAGACGAGCCCTAAACCGGGCGCGGGTTGTTAGAGGGCTTCTGTGCCGGGAAGGACCTTCCGCCGAAGAGCGGGGCACAGAACGCGCAGCACGAAGACGGGCGGCACGCAGGCGCGGCTGCTCCCCGCCCCGGGTCCCCTCACACGTGGGGCGCCCGGCAGGAGTCCCCGCGGTGCGCTCGTGGCCGCCGCGGCCGGAGGAACAGAGACACCGCCCTCCCGGGCCAAGGGAACTGTGCGCCCGAGGACGGGATGCAGGGGCCCCCGGGGGTGGGAGAGCAGCCACGGCGCTGTGCCTAGTGCTTCCGGGGAACAGCAGAGAGCGCCTGGCGGGCAGTCGGGCGCCCAAGCTTCTACAAGCGGGAAAGAAGCACCGACCTCTCCTCGGCTTCAGCCTGTTCCCAGTGAGAAGATCCCGTCCAGCTCTGAAACTATGAACATCTGCGGGGCTAAAGCTACGCCAGGGGTGTGCTCGTCCGCTCCGGGCCCTGTCCTCTGTCCTTGGGGGGGGGGGGGCGCGTTGTCCGCCGAGTGTGGCCCACCCCCTCCCAGGCGGAGGTTAAACCGCGCTGGCGCACAACGGGCTGTTAGGGAGCTGGGCCCGAGAGGCGGGCGGGCACCGCCACGTGTAATTAATGGAAGCTAATTAATCAGGCTCCTCCCCGGGGGGGGGGGGGACGCGGCGTGCAGCAGCCGCACACCTGGGGGTACCCACGGGGCTCTGCTTCCCCAGCTGCCCGCAGGCCCCACCCAGCCCCACCCAGGGGCACGGAACCTGGCGTTCCTTCTCGGGAGGGGCTTCAAATCCCTAGAGAACAAGATTTTGCAAAAAAGGGCTTTCTGGGCATTGTTTTTTAGGGTCTAAACGTGAGAGCTAGGGCCTCTAAGACGGCTGCGCACAAATCCTGACCCAGGGTTCTGTCCCGGAGGGGGCCACGGTGTCCCCTAGGCTCCTGCAGTCAGCTCGTGAGGATGCACACGGCAGGTGGTCACTGGTCTACTGCTGCCATGGAGGGGCCCCATGGGCCCTGGGCCACTGCGGCCTGCAAGGCACCAGCCCTCTGCCCGCTTCCACAGACCCCCTCCCAGTGAGCCCAGCAGGGAAGGGCTCCAGGCCCGGAGGTATCCCGGCAGGAGGTGGGCAATGCTCTTGGAGGTCTCATGCTGTCTGGGACGCGTCTGTGGCTCGGCAAAGGGCCAGACACAGGGACAGTGGGGAGCTCTGCTAGGCCACAGTCCCCCAGGCTCGGTGAGGGAGTCAGGGTAGGGAATTGCCAAGAAGTTAAACTAGTCTAAGGTCCTTCCAAGAAACTAAAATTGCACCAGATAAGGTTGTGATGCCTCTGACTTTGTCACTGCAGAAGCACAACATAATTCTCCAAGTTGTCACTGTCACCTTAGAGTAAGGCCACTTGTGTATCTGTGTCAATAACGACATAAGGAGGGGCATCATCCTCTGGCCCCTCTGGGAACCTCCACCTGAGGCCGGAGGCTGGCAGCCCTGAGTGACCTCAGAGGCTGGTGATGTGCGAGGCAAGCCCCGGGCACTCATGCCTGGGCAGATGATTGTGGCTCGCGAATGACTTCGGATTTTGAAAAAATAAATATAAATAAATATATTCTAAGCACTCTGTTAAGGGAATAAATGGCAAAGAGAAAACACTTTGCAGGTATTAAAGACACTAAGACACCCACAAAGAAAGCCCTAAGGAACCCTGTGGAAAGGAAGAGGGAAAGGCGGGAGGGGCCAGGCCCAGTGCCCCTTGCTGGGGCGCCCTGGACCCAGTGTCAGGAACCCCAGGAGGCTAGCCAGAGGCACTTACGGGAGCTTGTTACTTGGTGTAGGGACTCCGGGGGCCAGAGGGATACAGTGAGCCTAGGGAGCAAGCCAGGTCCAGCGTAGGTCAGCCGGGGTGCTGGCTCTAGAGGCATAGGGAGGATGCCCCACCTTTGCAGGAAAGAAAGGCACTGGGAAGGTTAGGAGGTTAATGGGGTCATCAGAACCAAAAAAAGGAACAACAGCAGCCCCTGGGGGGCGGGGAGGAACCCCAGGCATGGGGATGGGCAGGAGCCTCGCTCCCACAATCCAGGACGGCTCTGGGCTCCTAGAACCTTCCACCCTCTACCTTGCTGAGATGCCTCCCCATTCTCTGAGCAGAGGAAGAAATGAAGCTTCCAGAGTCCCGGGAGGAGCAGGGAGAGGTCAGCAGCCCTGTGTTGTGCAGAAAGGATGCCTCGCCGTGATCCCCACGGAAGGGGGTTTAAGGTGTCCCTGCCCACTCAGTTCCCATCCCCACCCCGGGGGCTGTCACTGGCAAGGCTCGGAAGGGGGCACTGGCCACCGCCTCTCTGTCAGCCTCTGCCTGGGAAGCAGAGGGAAGCAGGCCAGCAGCCCGGGAGGATGCAACCCGGGGGGGGGGGGGGGCGCGGCACGGCATCCAGCACTGGTTTAGCTGGCCCAGGATTTTCGGTTCTCAGGGTTCTTATGGCTCCTGTCGGCCCTCAGTGCCGGGGCACCCTCCGCCTTGGCCAGAGCCGCTGTCAGGGAGGCCAGGTTGGTGGCAGAGCCGGAGAGGGTGCTGCTCCTGCGGGGCTCGGGGGCGCCCTGCGGCCGGAGCCCTGCGCCACGCCGCCGGCCCGCGCCCACTGCTCTGTGCACCCGGCCTGGCCTCACCAGCAGCCCATAGCCGGGGTTGCACTTGAAGTACTGCTTTCCTCCGATGGAGCCGTCATTCTTACCTGAGGGGAAGAGAGAAGAACACATGGGGGTGGCTTCCTAGAGCCCCTCACTCCGGGGCCCTGTGTGCCTGGTGGCTCCCTGGGGGCACAGGTGCTCACTGTTGAGCAAAGGAGGCCGGGGTGACCCTGGAGGCACACGGTGGTCCCCAAGGACTGGCACCCCCGGGCAGCCCCAGGTCCTGCCATTTCCGATGTACGGGTGCGGGCAAGTCACCAAAGCAGAGCTGGACCGACCCCACCCGAGCCTGGGGCACAGACCTTCTTCAACCTGGCTGGTCAACATGTAAACCTAGGATGGATGTCACTGTAGAACGATTATTTTTCCTGACTCTAACAGATGGAAACTGGCAAATTACCAAATTGTAGCTAGTGAGATATCACACTTGATGTATCAAGATGGCGTGAGGAAGTTTCCTTTGTAAAAGCAACAGAAAATGCACTGAGGTAAAGAAGGAGAACCCCGCAGTCAAGTCAGTACAGGGAGAGGGTGCCTGAAGAAACGGGCCCCCATGACCCCTACATGTCAATGTGCCATGGGGACAGGTTGATGGGGAACATGATCTCTGCAGCAAAAACAATCGTGAATTTTCTACATTCACTGTCTGCACATCCTGACCTGCCCTTCTCTCCCCCCCACACCTCTGCTCTCCGTCAACAAGGGTCCCCTCAGTGCACCTCTCAAAGCACCTAACAGACCATCTCTCTCGGGCCACCGCTATCACTTGGCTCCCAGGGCATGCACACCCCCCCCCCCAGCACCGGCTCCCTGCTTCCAGGTTCCCCACCATCCTGCCCGCTCACCCCATTTCATTTTCTTCATACTTATTACTATCAAATTTTAATTATTTATTTATGTGTCTACTTGGCAATTTTCTCCCTCTTAAAATGAAAGTCCAGTGAAACCAGGGACTTTATTTCGCTCCTCAAAGTATCCTTCGGATCCAACATGGTGACTGCTACATGGTAGATGCTTAATACTTATTGTTGGATGAACTGATCTATTTGTTAATTCCTCTTCAATTCTTGAGTTCAACTGCAGATATAAACTTCTCTCCCAATTCCCCTGCACTAGCAGATACTCCTTCAAAAAATATTCTAGCTACAGGACTCTTCTGGAACCACTTCCAACTTACAGCATTATTCACAAGCGCCAAAAAGTGGAAACCACCCACATGTCCACCCACTGACAAATGGATGAACAAAAGGTGCCCCCCCACACAACGGAATTGTGTATCTGGCCATAAAAAGGAATGAAGGGCTGACCCAGCTTGTAACGGGATCTACCTTGGAAAATCATGCTAAGTGAAAGAAGCCAGTCACAAAAGCCCACATACTGCCTGATCCCCTTTATGTGGAAGTCCAGATTGGGACATTTCATATACATTTAGAGGGACAAAAAATAGATTATTGGTTACCTAGGGCTTAGGGAGGAGACTGCCTTACAAATGGACATGTGGCTTTTTTGTGGGGGAAGGTTGACAAACCTATTCTAAAAGTAGACTGTGGTAATGGTTGCACAATATACTCAGAACCATTAAACTGTTCACTTTTAACAGGTAGACTTTACAGTATGTGAATTGGTATCACAATAAAGCTGTGTTAAAAAAAAAACATATGGGGATGCCTGGTGCCTCAGCTGACTGAGCGTCTGACTTCCGCTCAAGTCATGATCTCAGGATCCCAGGATCGAGCTCCATGTGGGGTTCCTTGCTCAGTGGGGAGTCTGCTTCTCCCTCTGCCTGCCACTCCCCCTGCTCCTGCTCTCCTTCTTAAATAAATAAATAAATACAAACATCTAAAGGACCAAGTAGTTCCTTAAGTTGTGCCCCCGGTTTTTCGGAAAATGGTGATCCAGTCGCTTGTAAGATGTGCCGTTCTACAATGACATTTAAGAGGCTGGTGAGCCTGGAATGCACCTCAGATCACCCCGCCTTCTGTTCTCCAGCCCAGGCGTCCAAGCACCCCCACAGGCATCTGTGTCTGCAACCCGAGCGGCCGCAGCACACAGAGCTGTTAGACTGTTATTACAGTTCAAGAGCAGAGGCCTCTGTGACTTTAAAAAAAAGGCACTTAAATTCATTACCAAATTGATAGTGGCTTTCAATTAATGTCTTAGGTTTCTGAAAAATGTAGGTTAAACAAAGAGAAGGCTTAGGAAACTCTTATTCCTGGTTCTGAAAAGCAGTGACCTGAAAAGTAGAGGCTCGGGGAGGTCCAATGACACGCCCAGGGGCACACAGCAGGTTCATTTTCCAGCCCGCCCTCGGCTAAGTCAGCTGCGCGCCGGGAACCAGGCCCCAAGCAGCACCACTCACCTGAAGGTAAGTCCAGCTCCACTCCGATCCACGTCCCCTCCTGAAAGTCGGTGGGCCCGATGTATCTCACGATGCCCATTTTGTTGGTGCCCACGGTGACATATTCTCCCTCTCTGAGCCACTCTGGGACTTCGCTGGCTTCTTCAGAATCGGAGGACACTTCCAGCTTTCCCAGGGCCAGTGCCCCGGCCCCGCCGACGCCCAGCGCCCCCGAGGCCAGCAGGTCCTCCTCGGCCGCCGACGGGCAGCTGGGGTCTCCGCCCAGCATGCGCGTGAACGACTTCAGCTCGGAGGTCCGCACCTTCTGGATTCTGAACGGAGACGTGGGAGCAGGGGACAGAGACAGGAGGTCAGGAGGAACCTGTGGTGTGGGGGCGTCCAGCTCTGAGCCCGCGGCCGGCTTTGCGTGCTTCTCGGGCCTTCCGAGCCGCGTGGTGGCGGGAGAAACCTCGCCCCCGCCCTGCCGGCTGCGCGATTCCTTCGGGGGGGCGCAAGCGGCGAGAGGAGTCTGGGGTGCGCTCGCGTCTTCCTTCTCCGAGGAAACCAGCTCCTTGGCCTCGCATGCGCCATCGCTGTCGCCCCACGCATCCTGCTTTGCTGGGACCGGCAGCGACAGAAGGCTGCCCTGGCCGTGCCGGGGGGCGGGAAGCTCACCGTCCGCTGCGGGAGCGGTCGGGGGAAGCGGGAGCTCCGTCTCCGGGGTGGCCTGGCAGAGGGCCGGCGGGGGCGAGCCGGGGGTCTGCCCGCCCGCTGTCGCCGCGCTGTCCAGGCCAGGGACGAACGCATCGGACAGCGTGGCGGAGGAGACGCTATGGGAAAAGTAGCCGCTGGAGGCCTCGCTCAGGGGGCTGGGCGGCCCCTCCTGCACCTCGGGGGCCTGGGCGCCGGCAGCGGCCGCCTGCGGGGCAGGCGCCTTGGTCGGTCTGTCGTAGAGCTTCACGGGGGCCGGGTGCGCAGTCACATCGGGGGCCGCACTGATCCCCACGCTCTCTCGGTGAGCCTGGAGCAGGGAAGGGCGCAAGGAGAACTGGTTAAAACTCCCAAGTTTGCTGTTCATTCCCCAAAGAACTGCGACAGATTTCGTCGGCTGAAACATGACGGCTCGCAGGGTGGGAAGCTGCTAATGCACTAGGGCGGACCCCGTGTCCCTATCTGCGCCACCACTTCGTCCATGTGACCACCGCTTTCCGCGCACCAAATGCCGAGGAGCCCACTATGGGCCAGGCGGCCGCCGACCTGCTCCTTCCACCTCCTGGCCTTCTGTATACACTCGGAGTCTAACTACTGCCTGGGATAGCCTGACTTATCCTAAGAAATATATATTCGGCCTTCATCCTGTTTCTGCCACAGAGCTCCTGAAACCCTTGGAGTTTCCTACGTGTTAAGAGCAATAAAGGTGTCTTGATATTCCTAACACGGCCCCTGCAACCACACCTGAGGTCATGTTAAGGCGGTGGCTCTGGGGCAGCACCTCAGGATGGGGGCTGGGTGCCAGGGGAACCCACCTTCTGATTAGTGCCTCAGCCCCACCGCCTCCGCGGCGGAGAGCGGGGCTGCGGTGACTTAATCACTAACTGCCAATGATTTAATCAATCGCGCCTGTGTAACAAGGCCTCCATAACAACCCGGAAGGACAGGCTTCTGGAAGCTGCCGGACTGGTGAACACGCAGGGGTGTGGGGAGAGCGGGGCACCCAGGCAGGCACTGAAGGTCCACACCCTTTCCCCACACCTTGCCCCATGCCTCTCTTCCATTGGATACGATTTCCGAATCACATCCCTTGGAATAAACTGGTGATCTAGTGAGTAAAATGGTTCTGTGAAGCATTCTAACAAATTAATCAAACCCAAGTGGGGATCATTGGGACCTCTTATCTACAGCCGGTTGGTCAGAGCACAGGTGACAGACAACCTGGGCTTGCGACTGGCATCCAAAGCGGGGGCAGTCTTGTGGGCCTGAGTGGGTACTGACGCGGTCTCCAGGTAGACTGTCAGAATTGAGTTGACTCGAAGAACGTTCAGCTCGTGTGGAACAGCGCTTGCTTGGTGGTGGGCCAGAATGCATACTTGATGGCCATGCAGGGTCCGTGAGGCCTGACAAGGCAGGAAAAGGCCCTCACCCCAGGGCGCGGCGCCCAGTAGGGTGCACACTAAATCTCCAGTCCCTCCTTACCCGCCTGCACCCCTGGCCTTGCTGCACTCAGGCTCAGAACCCTGTTCCCACGGAAACAGATCCCCTGCCCACCAGGGACTTCACAGGGAACGGAGAGAATCACTAGAGGCCAGAAGAGCACTTTCTCCTGCAAAGTGGGAACGAGGATGTCCTTGGGGGATTCACAAGGGACTTAGCATAGCTTCACCAGCCCAGCCCCGAACGACGCTCGGGCCTGGTAGCTGACTCGCGGCTCCTGGCAGGGGGTCAGGTGGCAGAAGAGGAGACCGGCAGGCTGCAGGCTGATCCCATGTCACGGGTCGGGGGCCCTCTGATCCAGGGAGACGCAGGCCGAGCAGCCGCCTGCCCTGCCGTGAAGAGGGGCTGAGCGCTGACGGAGCCACAGAGGCTGGCCTCCCCCTCTGGGATCACTCGTCTGAGTCATACGGGCAGAGACACACACGCGGCCCCAATCTCCTGGGGAATGACGACAGCCACTGCCCGTCCACATTCTACTGTTTCTGAGGTGCTGCTAAGGTGTTCTTTCACTGACAGCTGAAGTCATTTGAAGAAGGGAGCAGGTTATCTTTCTATCCCCGATTCGCAACGACAGGGGCGAGAGAGAAGGCAGGAATGGGGAATGGGGTTGGTGCACTGGAGAAGGGTGCTGTTCAGAAAAAGAAATATGTCTTCCAATATTTACGGAAAGATTATTTATATTACAGGAATGGCCATTTTCCATTTGAAATACAGGATTTATTTGAACTGGGAAACAGCTGAGATCTATAAGTCTCTTACAGTTACTTGGCTTAACTCAGCAGTTTGATAAATCATGCATTTTCACGTGAATTGTCATTTATATTCCTGTCTCCAGAGGCCCTCCTTTCCCCACAAGGCACACTTTCAGGGTACGAAATTAACGGCACCTCTTGAGATTAACAGCCCATTTTTGTGATGGATCTCTAGGCTGCAAAATTTACTAAATCCAATAGATCAATAACTGTCACCAGCATAAATACTCTAAAAGATTAGGCCATCCTTCAATCATTTTTCTTTTGCAACTTGTACATGTTTTATTTATTCTTTTCTATTTTATTTTTAATATCACTGACCAGGCAGGGAAGAATATACAAACAAAATTACAAGAGCCTAGGATCTGAACGGGAACTTTGGTTCTGGAATTGTGCGTGCTCCCTATTCCCCTGGTGGGTAATACCCCATCACTGCCACATGGACAGCTGTCTGCTAAGGGCCAGCTACGTCCTGTCCTGAGGAGGTGACAGTCCAGGGAGTGTGCCTTAGATGTCCCTGGTCATTATCCCATTTGCTCCCACATGTAAATATGCATTTTACAACATGGCCCAGCGAGGTTAAAGGGTTTATCCAAAGCTCCAGTGAGTGACAACCAGGGACCAGAGGTCAGATCCACAGCGACAGCAGAGACCAAAGGTGGCAGAAGGCGAGCCCTGATTGCACCGTTCTTTCCTGCTGAGCCTGAGTGCAGCCTCAGATTCCTTCCGTGAGAGCACTGCGGGAAGCCGCTCCCACTTGACTGGAGTTTCTATGTGAGTGGAAACCTATTCCCCAGCCTTGGGTTATTCCCTTACCACTGCCACTCCTAGAGACTGCCGTGAAAGTCTAGCCTTGCAAAAACCACCAGGACGAACAGCGGTGCGGCTTGAGCTGCAGAGGCTGCAGGAGATCTGGTGCCCTCACCAATAAGAGACTCGGTCCTCTGTCCCGTTGGCCTTGGGGCCCCAGGCCTGCCTCACACAACTCACGGGGGGAGCGAGGGGGGCCATGTGAACACCAAATATGTCCTGGATTGGAAAGGGCCTTTCAGAAAGGACTGAATCCCCTTTCAAATTATTTGCCCATTTTTGCTGTTGTTTTAATAAATAAAATTTTCTGATGAAGATACAGAATTTCCTAAGAGAATGAACGCACAGTGGGAGAAAATAGATTTGCTATTCATAAGATGAGAAGTGCTGTTCATCTGTGGGAGATCATAAGAGACTATTTTCTCCCCAGCTTAGCATTAGTCTTTTCACGCTGATATCATGAATCAGAATGAAATGTAAAACTGAGAATTAAGCAAACACTTGGAATAAGGAGATTGTTCTGTTTATAGAAATCGCCTCTGCCTAGCAGTGGGCTATTAAAGCAACAGACTACATTAGCAGTCAAGCACCTAAAAGTTTAGCAATCATATGATTAACAAGTTGAAAATAGAAAAGTGGAACAAGGAAAATATAGAGGGAGAAGACAGTGACCTATATTATAGCTAATTATCAAAACGGGAACGCTAAAATGAAAAACCCACGGTATGGACTCAACAGTTACGGCATCGGGGCCACCCCCCACATGTGGTGCGGCTGCCAGTGAAGGTGCCACCGTCCCCCCCGCCCCCGCCACCGCCAGTCTGACTCACCTCCCCCACTCTGGTCATCCCGGCGTCCGCAAGGGCAGCCTGCACCATGATTCGGGGCACGGGCTGAGGAAACAAGCGAACAGGCAGGCGTGAGGGATCAAGAGAAGCAGAACAGAGATAACCAGAGAAGGTTTCCACTGAACAGACTGAAGAGCCCGTCAGGAGGACCCAGTCGAAGTGAACTTCTACAACTTTCGCGAATTCTAACAAGTCACTGCCAAGTAGGCCTGCCAAGGGCTAGTGGCGCCACACTACACAGGGAAATGTAAGCAGGAAGGAGCACAGCAAGCAGCTGGTAACCCCAGAAACGTGCTGAAAACAGTAACACACATGGCGTGCTTACATGTGCACAGGCTCTGCGCTCACATACGGCGCGTGTTCGTCAAGGCAGTTCTGCACTACAAGTGTTATAGGATGCCAGAGAGAAAGGGTTGGAACAGGAAAGATTGGGAAGGGCTTCAGGCAGGAGGTGGGACACAAACAAAGCCTTGAGGGCCAGGGAGAACTGGTGCCCAAGCAGGACCGGCGCGTGTCGTCACAGGAAGTGAGGAGTAAGGAGGCCAGTCTGGCTACAGCCCACTTCTGGGGCAGAGCACAGAGCGGGACAGATACAGGGAGAGGCGCTTTGGTATCCCAATCAAGTAAGGACGAGGACCACCAGCGATGCCTGAGTGAAGAAAGCAGGAGCTTGAGCTGACGGATCTGGTAGTAGAAGGCAAAGCGACTGGAGAAATATTTAAAGGCTAAGGTAGGCATATCACTGAGGAGACTCCAGCAACAGAGCAGATGAGAGGGGATGAGGGCCTGAATCAACGGCTGCGTAAGCAACAGCAAGAGAAGGACGACATTACTTACGGACATGCTGCTCAAGGAACATTAAAAAAAAAAAAAGTAAAAAAATCATTAGCACCAGGATAAGGAAAAGGGAGGTCTGAAGAAGAAGCCGGTAACCGCAAAAGAGAAGAAATCAAGCATCCTTTTAGCAGCTGCTGGGTTTACAATGGCACTGAGATACAGAGACAGACATGATTCTCTCCAAGAAACCACGAATCCACCACTTCTGCCTTTCTTCCATCAACCAGCCTCTGGCTCCTTCTCAGGTCCTCCCGTTCCAGCACCAGAGTCTGGACCTCGCCTCAGGATGCCCAGCAGACAGAGGATCCTGGCAGCCTCACAGGAGGGTCAAAATTGGGTGTCACAGTTTGTTTTGATGCAGTAGCAGTGTTCTTTGTCTTGTTGGATCCAAAGGAAAAGTCGCTGACCACTCATCTCTTACCTAGTCTAAACTGCATAGAGAGGCAGATTTCCTATCTTTCCACTTCCCTTCTTCTGACCCTACGTGCTCCAGGTCCTCCCCATTCCCATGATGGCTTCTACGCCATCAGGATGCTCCGGACAATTGGCAGGCACTAAGGCTGGATGGCCGAAGACCAGCTTCCTACTGAGCAGTCCCAACTCTTACTGAAGGGACAAGAGCCCACCTGGAACAAGATGGTGCACTCAGGAGGTTAACCTGAGTTGACAGCACCAAATAACTCCGCTCTGCTGGCGACCCGGTAGACAGTGACAGTGGAGTTACTCTCAACCAAGTATCCTTCACTCCACCTTACACTCCTTGAATACAGGGACTGCCGTCTTCCTTTTGGTATTTACTTTCTTCCACAGTATCTGAAGTCCCCCACAAACGGAAAGGTGTTCGCAGCATATTTCCTTCATGAAGGCAGAAAAAACGTCTCTTAAGCTCAAACACCAAAATACTTACATCCCTCAGATCTTCCTTAAAGCAGAAAAGATGGGGGTGAAAACATTCCCCCACAAAGCATAAACAGGTAAAATCCCACCAAGGGTGGAACATAACCACCCAGGATGAAGCCTCTCTAAGATGAGAGCACTCTTGCCCTTCTGAAGAGAACATGGAAACACAACTTACACTTTCTTCTCGGACTCAGGGGAATGAGAAAACTCCAGTAAACGCTTAAAAAAATATCTGCTGCCATGAGTGAAGGGATGAGCCTGTGACACTGTGGCATCAGCGAACCCACAGGCTTCCTGGTACCCAGGGCCCCACGTCATGGTTCCAGGCCATCACACTGAGACCTCACGTCTCCCCTCACAGACTTCCCGCCACCATCAGTCACTCCCATGACCACTTCTTCACCAGCAACATACTTGCTTCGTGAACAGGCCCACCCCGAGGCCACCATTCAGAGGAAGGGGGAAGTGAGACACTGGATGATGACACACATCTGAAACGGCTAAACACAGTGTCGAAAATAAGATGGGACCGGGTCTGAGTGGGTCCTGAGTGTACTGTCAAGTACTTGGAGCACACCTACTGCTCACGTGCTCGTAACTGTGTGGGGCTCCCTCCTTGGGAAGCCAGGTGGTGGCAGCTGCCAGAAACCAACCCTGGCCAAGTGAGCATCAGGTAGATACGTCTCCGACAGAGGACTCTGAAAGGTGCAGGCTAAAGAGGATGGGGTATAGGCATACAACACCGGCTCTGTATTGATTTTTACTGAAGCGAGGTGACAAGCACACAGGATTCACGGTCGTATTCTCTCTACTTTTATGTATTTCAAATTTTTCCATAATACCGTCCTACATGAAGAAGATAACCGAGACTCAATGTACAAAATCAGTTCAACAAAGACTTGGGTCTCACAGCATACAAGGCATCGCAACAGGTGCTGGGAAGAACACAAAGTTCACAAAGTCACAGGCTTTGCTCTCGGCAGACGGGCAAGGACATGTATGCAAATAACTGAAACAGCAAGGAAAATACTAGAATGAAAGCTTCAAACGCAGGGAAGATTCAGAGGAAGGGATGATAAATGAAACAGGCCTAGAATACCCTCCCTGGGGGGCGACTACACTTTGAGACAGGCCTTGAAGACTGAGCGGCTTTTCCCGGGGCAGAGGGACACTTCCAACATGAAGAATGACATGGCAAAGGCACGGGGCTCTTTGCGCCTGATGTGTTCCCTCTACTGCCACCTCTGTCCCCAGAAAAGCTACTCAATCTGCCAGGAGGGCTTGGGGAAGAGAGAATGATCTAGGGTGACTCGCACCGGGCACAGGGAAGCAGTTTAGGGCCGTGTGCAGGTGGCGTTGTGAGCTTATGGCTGATTTTCACCCACACTGGCGAGCTATCAAAGGTAAATGAATGAGCGGTGATAAGAGGTACGCTTGGAGACGATTAACCCTTAAACAGGGGAGATATGAAACTTGGAGAGATCAACGAAGAAGTTGCTTCAACGGTTTGGTGGAGAGCTATTGAGAGCCTGAACTTGGATGGAAAGAGGAAAAGGTACTGAAAAGCTAGAGATATGAGGGGAGAGTCCTGCCCACTTGGAAACAACTGGCTGGGGAGGCTGGGGAAATAGGGTCAAAGATGATGCCCAGGAAGGATGGATGACGAGGAGGAGGGTCACAGTGGTGTTAGCAGAACCCGTGTCCATGCGTGTGTGCCCCTGTGCGTGGGCCCATGTGCGAGGGTGCGGGGACCCAGCCTTGTGTGTTGGGCAATGGCCTGTGATGAATTCAGGAGCTTCATTAAGGATACCAAAAATACCTACAAAGTGTACTGAAATCTTAAGTGTGCCGTTTGTCCTTCACACCTAAGAGCTCAGATTTCCAAATGTGTATTGTTTGCATTTTAATGCTCTTTTACACATCCCCGGTGCAGGCAGTTGCCTCCTATTTCAGGAGCTCAAAACATTTCAGATCATAAGTTCATTAATCCTTATGACACATCTGGCAACTATTAATAAAAATGACTGCGAAGTCTTTTGCAGCTATAAATATTAAGGAGAAGTCCCACGAGGCAAGCGAATATAAGTATAATTATCTACATCTCACGCTACAGACACCAAGGCTCTGAGACATTCACCTAATGATTACATGCATCCAGGCTGCCCAGTGAGCCAGTGACAGAGATGGCAAAGGACCAACTTCCAAGCACCAGCTGAATAGGCAATCATGCTGTCTGCTCAGCATCACTGAAGCTTAGCAGATGAGTGGGTTCCAAGCAAGAGAGCTGCTCAGAAGTATTTCAGGGAAAAGATGATGGTCACATCTTGTATCACAGCCCGTCATTTTTTAATGCCACATGAATGAAGAAAACAGGGCAGATCAGCTCAGAATTTCAACCAGGCATCCGAGTCACTGGGAGACCCCTCTGCCTCAAAGCATAAAGTTTTAACACCTTGGCAACGTGTAAAGGCCCTCACCTCTCCGTGAGGCGGTACCCTTCCCTCGCTTGTGATGCTAACCCCACTCTGAACTGACCACACTGCTCTGCTGGAGCCTTCCTCGAGCTCTTCCTTTTCCCTAGGGAATCATGTTCTACCTGGGGAGCACCGACTCACATCTGTCTCAGCTTGAGTGTGATCTACTCTTCCCAAAACTGCCTTCACCACGCCAGCCCCAGACAAACATATTACAGCATCCATAACGTCACCCTGTTTAGCTCTCCGAAGGGTAGGGATTATGGCTCATTCATCTCTGTTTTCCCGTACATAAAAGAATAACTTCATGTTTGTTGAATGAATAAATAAATACGTAAATGAACAAATTAATCACTTAAGTGACATGACAAAGGCCACACTGTATGGTTACAGAGAATTTGGAAAAGAAGAGACATTCTGAAATTTGGGCATTGGGGTAGGTAGAGGGGAGAAGACATATTTTAAAGCAAAAAATATTCACTTTGTTTCAAAACACTGAATTTTCTGATGCATTTTTTTCTTGTTTGGGAAATGAACTTTTCCTAATAATCACCCCCACCCTGAATTTGATAAACTCTCAAATGTCATCTTCCAATGGTTCCTAAGCAAGTATGATCCTCTAGATCTTTTTTTTTTAAGATTTTATTTTTTTTAAGTAATCTCTGTACCCAATGTGGGGCATGAACTTACAACCCCGAGATCAAGAGTCCCATTCTACCAACTGAGCCAGCCAGGCGCCCCCGTTTTTAAAAATTCTAACCAAGCATAAGAACATGAGATGTACGATTTACCTTTGTTATAAATAACCAGTAGACAACCTTTGGTTTTCATGAT